GCAGAGTCGGGACTCGGTAAAAACTGTACGGACACCCTCTGCTGCACTGCAGAGTCGGGACTCGGTAAAAACTGTACGGACACCCTCTGCTGCGCTGCGGAATTGGGACTCTGTAAAAGCTGTACGGACACCCTCTGCTGCGCTGCAGAATCGGGACTCTGTAAAAGCTGTATAGACCCCTTCTGCTGCGCTGCAGAGTCGGGACAGTCTCAGATCATTGCAAGTCACTGATGTTAGAGGTCTCTCACATCATGGGAATACCTGTTCCCCCATTGTTCATCAGGGAGGACTTTTGAATGTTGCCCCCATACTGTGTGATCATAAAACCCTGCCCCCCCTCCCAGTTAGAGACTACAGTTGGGTGACCATGACGCTCCGACTTGTCAACACGAGACGAATCAGCGGAAGCGTGGCCGCATGCTGGTGCGGTAGGATGTGAGCGCGTGCGCGTGCGTCTGGGGAAGCGCTAACTGGCGCGGGCTCTGCCGGCACTCAATGACAAACGGTCACTTCCTTCCTGCCTGCGCGTGCTGCCGGCGTCCCCCATCCACCCACCGCCATGTTATCGCCCGGATATTGATTCTGAATCTCTTTTGGGCAAGAGGCTGTAATTGTAGACCGAAGCGCCTCTGTGTGGCATTTACTGCAAGGTTAGCAGAGCGTTATTTCAAGGTTTCCTTGTGCTGTTGGTATGAGGAGAGTTTTACTGAGGTGATGGAGAGACAAGGCTGGTAGAAGAAAGAGAAAGAGAGAGAGGGAGAGAGAGAGGGAGGGAGGGAAAGTCGAAAGAGGCAGGAACAATGTAACAGTGTGAAGTAAGAGCGACCCTCCGAATGAGGCTAATGCATATATTAGCAGTTAAAAGGCACAGAGTTGGAATTCTACGCTCCAACTGAACAATGCCAAAGTTTGCACTCTTCATTTCTCTCTCTTGCTCTCTCTTTCTCTTTCATGTTTTCTGTACGGCGGGTGGGTGTTTGGTTATGAGCAGTAGGTGGAGCATAAGGGGGAAACTTGGCACGTGGGTTTGAGGATGGCGCCATGGGGATCTCTACCTCCATCAGCACACACCAGTAGCCGGCAGTCTCGTCACGTGCGGCAGCTCCGGTGCCCCCGCGGCCTCTGACAGCCAAACCTCGTCTCTGCTCATCTGTCAAACCCCCTCATTACTCACGCCGCTCGTGAGACACATGCCCCCAGATCCGTGCGAATGCGGCAGCTCGGTCCCCTGTTTGTTGTGTGGCGTGAATCTCCCGCTCATGACGCTTCCTATCTGTCCGACAGATGACATTTTAGGCAAGAGGAGAGCTTGTTCCCCCAGCAGCAGCAGCGAGTGCCCCTCAGAGAATAAGAAGTCTCGCAGCGTGTCACCTAAAGGTAAGGAGTGCCTCGTCTGTGAGGGTGTAATAGGAGCAGAGTGTGAATGTGACTGACGGAGTGCTACTCTGCAGGGGGGTGACTGGGGGGTGAGAAGAGCACTCTGCTTTCTTGTGGCTTTCTGGTGTCACACATGCACGTACACACACACACATTCGCACACACACACACACACATTTCTATTCATGTCTTTGTGGGGACTTTCCATTCATTTCTATGGGGAAAGCTCTAATCGCAACAATGATGACCTTAACCCCTACCCAGCCCTAACCTTCACCATAACCAAACAAAATACAAAGCTTTTGGCATCTTTAAAAAATGGTCCTAACAACATTAAAATGGTTTTTAACACATTGTAATGACATTAAATAATAGTAATATAATTTTCATTCATTTATTTATATATATATATATATATATATATATATATACAGACACAGACACACACACACACCAAACACCCAAACAAAGTATCTTTTTTTTTACTCTATTGAAATCATTTCATTAATTCAAGAATTTAATACTGTACTTCTTCTACAAATTACGACAATTCTACTATTATCAGTTTTTCGTAGGAGTGGAGAAGCTGGAACATAAAAATTGATAAAACACCACTTCTAAGCAAGAGCGTGGATTAGTGGATTAATTTCAATAACAGATCTGTTGACATGTGTACATGATTATTAGGGATTTTATGTGGTTTCCAAGTGTCCGTTAATAAAACACCCTTTTCTTTGAAGCTACTGCATTAATTAGGCATTTTCAGACAACATAAGTTTTTGCATCAGACTTTACCTTGCAGCAGAGCAGCATAAATTTTGTCAACACAACAAATTATACTTCACAGCGACAGCATTTGAGTGCATGTTTAACATGGTGATTCTAGTTTGCCGAAGAACATTATTAAGGAAGCAGTGGAGATGGCTGCTGGGATCAGTATGTGGGAAGATAAGGCCTTTCGGCTGGTTAAGTCTCTTCGCTTAGAAGCTCCACAGAGATGCTTATGATGTTTGCTGTGGCCACGGGCTTCGCCGCTACCGCCGCTGCAGGCTGGAGAGTTCCGCTGGAGATACAGCAGCCCTGGCCGCACAAGCTCAGCTCATACATGAGTCATTTCTCCCACTACCTATAGTCCATGAATAATATATGATCAAGATTTAAAAAGCATTGATCACTGGAGGGAATTGGGCGGGGCGTTAAGAAGGGTAAGAAGGGTGTGCGTGATTACCCCAGTGTGTGGGTCTGACTGTGTGAGAAGATAGACAGTGAGGTTCTGGGGTATACATCTTACATTGTGTTAAAATCCAGCACTGCTTTTACCAGCGACGCCATTTGCAGTCACGCACTGAGGGAGCATGCCTCTCCACATGAGTAGATAAGCACTGATTAAATTTTTTGTGCTGATCTCTGCCAAGTTTTTTTTTTCTTCTCTCTTTTCTGGGCCCCCTAACCAATCACAGTTCTGCAATGGTAAGATGGACAGCTGCCGCGGCCTATCGGTGAGGTCTCCGTTAATGACTAAAGCAGGCAGGAACGTGCTGGAGTTATGGCAGGCAGAGAGGAAAACAGGCAAATCGGAGAGTGGAAAATTCTTACTGTAGGTAGCCGGGCTGGCGTCCTCCCCATTGTGCAGAAACACGCACGGAAAGAGATGTTCAAAAAAAAAAAAACCCTGGCTCACCACCTCTCTCTGACACATTCACACACAAATATAGGCGCATACAGACGTGCACATTCCTGGGGGATTTGCTAGTGCTTGTTCTGTCTCCTAGTATACGCCTGCTGACCAATTCGCATGGCCTGCACAAGGCCGACTGCCGATCTCCACATGCTGTAAGAGATTCAGGTCTCTCTGAGGCAGGTAAAAATAAAAATAGCCTCCTGTCCCCATAGATGAATATATGATACACAACCACTGCAAAAAATGTGTGTGTATATGTGTGTATATATACACACACATACACTTACGAACTTTCAACTTACGAACTTTCAGACATACGAATGAAGAAGTCCAAATTGTGTCCATTGGGCTTCCGTTTACTCTCTGCAACATCAATTTTTTTTTCCTGCGCGCCGATTCCGCCTAGAATGGCTTCTGGTCGCTACTCCCACCGCGCAGCAGCGTAGCGTGCGTACTCCCAGCATCCTAGCTCTTTGTACTTGCGCATACCCTTAAAATTATGTTGAATAATGACTTACGCACATTTTAAGTTACGAATGGTTGTTCGGAACGTATCTCATTTGTAAGTAGAGGAGCGTCTGTGTATATATATATATGATTATATGGTTCGAGTTATATTCAAATTCAATTCCCTTCCTTATTTGAGAGTTATATTGATAAAATTTATATATGCATTTCATTTTATGTTGGATATTTTAAGAATGTGATATTTGTGACTTTTCACTATCTCTTTGAGAAGCGTCTGTCCTGCACGTTTTCTCGGGAATGTAAAGGGAAACACTTACCCCCCACAGAGAACTCCCACACCCCAGCACTGGAACCTCTGTCTGGTCACATGACCCCCGAGGAGCACTACAGGCGTATGATGTCAGCCCTGAACGAGCAGGGCTCCTACGAAGAGCAGCAGCAGCGACTTTACCGGCTGGCCAACAGCATGGCGCTTCCCAGTCACGGAGGTGAGCGGCTCTCCGTCACCGTCGGTGTCATGGCCGTGCTATGCCCAACATTCTGCACTCCCCGTCCCTCTCAGTTAGTCATGTTTGGCCAAACTTAGTGCCGTGGCTTTTGGACTCTTTGTGTTTCTGGCTCTGTGCCGCCTTTGTCAGGCTTCACACTAGGGCCATTCTTCCTGCTACCTTGTACGCCTTCAGAAATACGTGCCTGTATCTTGCTATGAATGTACATCCTCAAGGAGAGGGTGAATAGCTGAATGACGGGAATAACGGCCAGACTTCACAAGGGTCTGTTGTGTTTGCAGTGATTCTCTGAGCCTGAGCTTCTCGAAGTGTTTGGTCAAAAGTCCACATCAGATTTGTGCTCAAAAAATAACAAAACAGCCTTTCATGAACGTTAATGAATTGTCAATAACCTTCGATACAGACATGAATATATAACAAAAAAGGGAACCTGATTGTTTAGACTCTCTGCCATTGCGGGGGAGGGGGGGGGGGATTATGGCGAGTTATGTGTATTTGAAGTTTGCTGGTTCTACTTTGTATTTTTGTACTTCAGACCATATTAACCCTTTCGCTGTTAACCATGTTGATTCATAAGGTGCATTATCAGCTGGGTCCGGATTAGCTTGTGGTTCGGTCCGCGTCCGGACTTTGAGAACCCCAGCTCTAAACAAACTTTCAATTCACCTTATAGCCTCTAGCCTTTTTGCAAACCGTTTTCAAGCCCCTTTCTGGCAGGGTATTATTGCCAGTGACTGAAGGGCTGAATGTGCTTCTGGACCTCGGTCCTTTGAGATTGGGGCAGAATGTATGTCTTCTTCACTGGGGCCTCCCAAAGTGGTTCAGAGGGGCTTTTGACAGATCTTGGGGTCTTTTGCTGCGGGTAGCCCAGCCTAGGAAAGTTGTTATTATTAGCTTAGTAAAACAAATTTTTATGCAAAATTACCCAGTCAAACTTTCTTCTGCAGTGGAGCTTTTGAACCTTGCTGAAGGCTGCAGCATGAGCTCCTTTCTGGAGATGTGAACCTACAAATGATTGATTTAGTTTCTTAACCACTGTTCTCCAGCTGTCCCGCACAAAGACTACCTTTAGGAAATATTCTATTTTCAAGCTTACCAGGTTGTGTCAAAATGTCATGTCTCTGTGATTTGCGACTCTTAGTTCAGTTATATATGCAGTTATAAATAAATTTAACCGTGGTGGCTGATTTTCATTAGACGTTTAGACATTTTACCCGTCTTTAAATGAACCCTTGGTTTTATTTTTCTTTAATGGACCACATTCATATGCTTATATTTTTGAGACTTTGCCAGATGACTGCAACGTAGTACACTGAACAGGGGAATTAGAAAATGAAAATAAAGCTATAGGAATTATTTAAATTCCCTTTGTCTTTTTAACTCTCGGGGTACACTCTCAGCTGTTTCTGTAAATGCATAGGTATCCAGAGTTAAACCAGTCTCTAACATAGCAAACACTGAGTGGTGCAGACACGAGTCATGCACTTATATTACCAGTAATCCACAAATGGATTTTAATTCAGTTCCTAGAGCAGCAACTTCTATTGTTTTAATTTATGCATTGCAACTGAATAACTGCTGTGATGCCTATGATGTTGTTATCGATGCATCTTCATGAAGCGCTATGGTGTGTCTATGTTGGAGTTGACATTGTATAAAAAAATATTTCAATTGCATTGAGTTCAATGTATAATGCACTTTGTAAATCGGAGGATTTGCCCCTTCAGAGACAAATTCAACAGTACGGCAGTGTTTAAGTTGGCTATGTGCTGCATGAAATACCATGTAGCCTTAAACATGTCTTTTCCATTCATCAAGCACTGAGTCACTGTGGTACTATCATGGTAGAAGATATCTGTAATGATGGTCCAGCTTATCCCACTTATGAGTTCCTAGGTTTGGCTTCAAAAGTGCTCAGAGAAATATTCACACTCTTCTAACAGAAAACTTTTCCAAAGTATGAAATCACCCAGTTCTGTGTCAGGTCACAGTTGTTTTGGAGTCCTTGTTGCACGATGCCCATCTTGGAGAACCTACAACCTCTCCAGGAAGACCTCTTAGGTAGCCACACTGGTCGGATGGACCTTGAGGGCTGTATTGATCTGAGAAGCTCTTTAAGGCGGCTTGATGTTGACGTGGGGCTCCGACGGCATCTCCCCACGCACACCCTCCCCCCGCCCATTCCACCGACACCCTGACCCCCCAAGCACGCAGCTGCTTTCCAATTCCTTCTTTTTCTGCCGCCTCCCTTGCTGAAGCGGAGCATCTTTTCATGCTGAGGCGCTGAAATGAAAGCGTGCAATGAGTGTCGTGGGAGGCCGCGTGAGGTGTTTGCTGTCTGATGTGCAAGACCTTAGCAGTTTCACAGATTTCTCGGCTGAAAGTGAACTCAGATGTAAAGTATTTCACTCCATTATCAGTATATTTTCTCAGTATTGAAACTATACATTAGCAGGTAATAATTAACAGGTAATAATTATTTGGTGCACTGGTTTTCCTGTCACTGGTTACCTGTCACTGGTTTACCTGTGGCGAGTACCAGCTGTTCCCACCTATATTTTAGTCATAATGCACTGTCCTGTTCTGGGGTGAACCTGAGTTTCATCCAGAGGATTTCTGACTAATTCCATCATAAAGGGGGCAGCACCCATTTTTATAGCCTCATAAGGACACAAAAGGGGGGGCCAGCAAGCCCGATCCTGACCCTCCCTAACACCCGGCACAGCTGGATGCCGTGGACCTTGTCTCTGCTGCCAGAAGGAGTGTGTGTGTGTGTGTGTGTGTGGGGGGGGGGTAGTGTTCTCCTAGGAGACAGAGTGATTTGCGGGACTCTGGATACGGGGAGGGTGGCTTTGTGATAGGCTGGCATGGTTTAGTCGAAGATTTATAGTAGTGTGAGCTCACCCGAGTATAATATGCCATAACTGAGTGACTTGAGGGCCCTGTAGCTAATCCCTCTGGTGCATCTTTCATCAAGATTCCCCCTGTTCCCTCCATCCACTCACTCACTCACTCACTCACTCACTCACACACACTCACTCACTCACACACACACACTCAGTCACTCACACACACTCACTCACACACACTCACTCTCCCACATACTCACTCAGTCACTCACACACACACACTCAGTCACTCACACACACTCACTCTCCCACATACTCACTCACTCACACACACTCACTCTCCCACATACTCACTCACTCACTCACTTACACACACTCACTCTCCCACATACTCACTCACTCACTCTCCCACATACTCACTCACTCACTCACACACACTCACTGACTCCCTCACTCACATTTTCTCATACGCTCACTCACTTACACACTCATTTGCTCACACATTTTCTCTCACACTCACTCACTCACTCACTCACTCATTCACTCAGATACTCACTCAGTTACTCACTCGCACTTGTTCACTCACTCACTCACTCACTCACACCACTGGCATGTACATTACACCTGCACTGTTTCTGACTGTCTTCTGTGGCATGGGAAATAGGTAGATCAATCCATTTGGAAGGTCTGTACAGCCATTCCCAAGCTCTTGAACAGACCAGAAAAAATACAGCTCACCTTATATTATTGAGTCAAACAGAAAAGATCTCATAATTAATGTCATTATGAAGGACTTTTTCTTCTAACACTCACTACAGATATGAGTAATGAGCCGCTTTTTTTGTACTTTTGCTAGTTTTTATGTTTGTGGGTTTGTTGCTTTAAAAGCAGGTGTTTGAAGGTAGTAAAACAAGATGATGTTCAGATCCTCTTAACTCCTTAGTCTGTAGTCCTTAGACTACAGTGAGGTGCCATTACATTTAAGGAATACTATAAATGCTGTTCTTAATCTACCTTCATACTTTATATTGAACGTAAAACCCAATTTAATCCATTTTGTTTTGTTCTATAGGCCATTGCAACGGGTGCCGTCAGTACAGGCAACTGCCTGAATCCTGTTTGGCTGCTAATTAGACACTGTGTATAAGTTCAGCTTTTATCAGTGATGTAATTGTAAGCTGTATACAGTACATCCATTTCCAGTAACTACATAACGAGTACAGAGTGACAGTGAACATAGAGCATATTTCAGGGTATAGGTGGCACCAGGACGGGACAGGATGGACTGGGATGCCAGTCCATTGAATCATGGACTATTTAGAGACACAAGTTTGCCCAACCGAATGTTTTTGGACTGTGAAAGGAAACTGGAATACCTGGAGGAAACCCGCAAGGATCCAGTGCGAACATGAAAACTCCACACACACACACACACACCCACACATACACACACGCATGCATGCACCCACACACGCACACGCATGCACTTATGTGTATTCATATCTTTGTGGGGATTCCATTCATTTCTATAGGAAAAACCCTAATCCCAACAAAGAGAACCTTAACCCCTACCCAGCCCCAACCTTAATCATAAGTAACTAAACAATGTACAAGTCTTTTAGTCACAGATTTTTATATAATTGAGTTACCCCTTGTGGGGATCGAATCAATTGTCTCCACAACGTCAAAGTAACAGATTTTTATCACATTGTGGGGACATTTGGACAGCTGGGTGAAGAATTAAAGCAATTTATGGCAACACCCCAGAGGCTAACACATCATTTTTCATTCCTCAGAGCTGCTACGGCTGCGCCAGGAGGCGGTCGCTGTGGCGCGGAATCCCGCGAGCATGGAGGCCCACCTGCCCTCGGCTGGCGGCGCATCGAACCAGCGCCGCAAGCAGGGCCTGCCCCAGCACCGCGATGCCCACTTTTCAGAGAGGTACGGATGCAATGGCATGGGGTGGAGGGCGGGTCATTCTGCGATGGCATGGGATGGAGGGCGGGTCATTCTGCGATGGCATGGGATGGAGGGCGGGTCATTCTGCGATGGCATGGGATGGAGGGCGGGTCATTCTGCTATGGCATGGGATGGAGGGTGGGTCATTCTGCGATGGGATGGAGGGCGGGTCATTCTCTATGGCATGGGATGGAGGGCGGGTCATTCTGCGATGGGATGGAGGGCGGGTCATTCTGTATGGCATGGGATGGAGGGCGGGTCATTCTCTATGGCATGGGATGGAGGGCAGGTCATTCTGCGATGGCATGGGATGGAGGGCGGGTCATTCTGCTATGGCATGGGATGGAGGGCGGGTCATTCTCTATGGCATGGAATGGAGGGCGGGTCATTCTGCGATGGCATGGGATGGAGGGCGGGTCATTGTCTATGGCATGGGATGGAGGGCGGGTCATTCTGCTTCAGCAAGAATGAGGGTCCGTCAGGCCTAAAACACAGTGAGAAGGACCTAAGGACCGAACCTCTAGCCTGCCAAATGTGAATGTCAAGGTGAACACATGTTCTCACTTACTAAACAGCAGGAGACAGCTAAACGGAAAAAAAACAGCGTAAGGAAGCAGACCCTCCACAAAGATAATAACATATGTTCCTCCCCCACAACGCCGCCTAGTTTCACAAAAACAGGAGACGAGGGCTAAAAACTGTAGAACAGAATAAATATTTTATAGCTAATGAACATAAGATCTTGTGTGGATGAATACTGTATGAATGCAGGAGATGCCATATGGGGAACAGAGTGACGAATGGGGGGGAGGCAGGACTATGAGCGAGGAACGCGCTGGTGAGCTGGACCTGCCATGTGCGGCGTCCTTCTGCGGCCTCATCGGTTTGATCTTGTCAGAATGTGTTTAAGAGGACCCCTGCTGAATGTTTCTCCTGCAGGTCAACCCCTCCCCCCCCCGCCCCCCCACCCACAAGCCCCACTACACACCTTCTTTTTACGGCTCCCCCCTCCCAAACCAGATCTTGCAGGGCGGGTAATTGGATGTTGATTATTTATGTGACAAAGGGAGCTGGAATATCAGTAATGGCTGGAGTGGGAGGAGGGTCGGTCACCAAGCGTGGGGGTGTCCAATTTCCATCCGGACTTCCTGTTGGGGGCAGTGTGAGAGGCTGGTCATGGGGGTTTTACTTTGGAAAATAATTAGTCACACAGGACTGTGGCGTGCTCATGTGCGTGCCTGCTTCTCTTTGTGTGTCTGCGTCTTAGAATATGAGTTTATCTGATTTTACTCCAAATCCTAACATATAGAAAAAAAACTCTAAAAAGGTAACAACCCTTCAAAACTCTACTGTCTGAGGAAGCTGTTCTTGGCTTTTTTTAGCAGAAAAAGTGCCAAGATCTTTTATGACCACGGTGTTTTTGAGTTTTGTTGGGGTGGCGTTAGGAGTGATACGTCATGTAGCAGTTCTGTGAGTTTCCCAGAAGAAGAAGTAAATAAACAATCGTAAATGTCTGGGTGTGTGACGCCATTGTGATTTAGGCCAAATCAACCAAACCAGTGAAGATTTGAGTAAAAATATGTTTTTCTGCTCTGCTCTCTCAGTAACCCATGCAAGCAGTATGAGTGAAATATCTAAAAATATGAAATAGGAAAAAAAATAAGTAAAAAATTGTTTTGATACCATTTAAATGGTTTGATTTTGTATTATTTTAATACAGAAGAGCCAATATTTATGATATTTTTAGCCCTTCTGCTTAAGCCCCAAACCCGTCTCTGAACTTCCCGTTAACGGCTGTTGATTGGCTGTTTTAAATGCTGTTTGTAGGGGCAACATTTTCATGCTCGCTTAGGTCCCTTCATTAGCTTTGTGATGCTCTTGATGACTTGGTGTCCCTAACATGGTTTGAAAAGTTACTGTTCTGAGCAGCGGCTCCTGCAAGGCTCCGTGTGTCACACACTCACTCCCGCCGTCCGCGGCTGCTGTCATTATAAGGCGATCTCACAATCGATTATTTGATGTATGTCAGCGCATACTGTTAAAAACGAATCTTTACAGAAATCGATATACTGAAATTCGTATCTGCGGCACTGAGTAATCTGCAAGGCAAATGTTCATATATTTGGCACACGAGCCTCCGGTCCGAGCAGACGCGGGTCCTGAGGGGTCAGGAGGCATGGGTGGGGGCCAGGGGTGGGGGCCAGGGGTGGGGTCATACATTTTAATGCGCTTCCTGTGCAAACGCCCGCCTTTGGAGTTCGGTCGTAATCTAGCCTGCGCTTGTGTCATTAAGAACTAGCGGTGCAGTCGCCCTTTGGGATAGACTGGCGTGTTGGGGGGGGTGAGGTGGAAATGGGGGGTGCTCATGCAGTCAGAGCCATCTCAGGAGTCCAGATTTCTGTGACAGGGGACAAATGGACATTGTGTGAGGCCTCGCCCTGCTCTGAGGTCCTCATTACTTACTAATTAATGATAATCTTTATCTTTTTTTAGATCCGGGCTAATACCCAAGCCATTTTGGGCGGAAACTCACTGCAAAGATCGTATATTCAGCCTCAGTAGTGAATATATAAAAGTTTCTGTTAGGTAAACAAGCAGTGACGTTTGGCAAACACATTTATGTGAGAGTGACATGTGCCGTTGACGATTGTAAGCCGATTGCTGTCGGTGTTTAAGTATCTCTGCGTGTCTGCGACAGTGTGAATGCCCCGGTCAGGTAAACGAACAACGGTAAAAACAAAGATGTTTAAAGTGACTTGACTGATAGAGAGACTGATCGCTTAAGAGGCATGAGGTTAAAGTGGTGATTTCTCCTTCGCTGTGGAACCCTCAGCACCCAGAGCGAAGCGGTTAACGGGGCCCCCTCTCCTAAATAGCCTCCTATAAAAGGACAGCCGTCTGGCGGGTCGGCTCTCCCTGTGATTACGGCTAATTAGGATGGAGCAGACGCCTCTCAGGTCCGGCCGTGCCGCTCTAATTGACCGTTATTCATCTGTGGGCCGTCCGGGGCGGCGCTGTGCTCTGCATGCTGGGCTTAATTGTGAGGCCTGGGGGATTAGGCCAGGTGATTACACATTTCACAGCGTAATTACATAAGCGCCGCTTGCCGGGGCCCGCCGGCCCCAAGGAGGTCACGTGTCCCCCCTCCCCTCAGTCCCCCACCCCCCTCGAGATTAATTGGCGCTGCCAGCCAGGCGGGGGTGTGCCGCGGCGCAGCGACGCGATTAGCATTAACATTTCAACAGCGGCCGGATCGATATGCGCCTCTCTGTCCGCCACCCCGCCGCTTTTGTTGTTTTTTTGAAACCCCCCCCCCCCTTCCCCCTCCCCACGCGGCCATTAAAGTACACAAGTCTGTCTGGCTTTCAGGTCGCTGAGGCTGGAGGAAAAATTAGAAGGGGAAGAAAGTACGGTGCTGAGGTGGCAATCCACGGACACTAGGGGCAGGAGAGAGGGGGCAGGGCCGGGGGGGTTAGGGGTCCTCACTCTTTGTAAAGCCCCTTTCCCAATACCTCTATGCAGCCTGCTTTCACCCCTCTGTGAAAAACCTCAAAGATTTCACATATTTTCCTTTTTTTTGCAATACAATCAATCCATCCGTTCACCACCCCCTTTCTTTGTAAGCCCCCCTCCCTGCCTGTTTTGGAAAGTTGGATGCTGCATACGTACCCAGACGTGACCTCCTGCTTCAGTAACGAGGGCAAAAAATAATAACTCGAAAAATTGTACTATTAATGGCTCCGGTGAAACTGGGCGGCGCAGCACGGTGGCAGATCAGGGAGTGGGTGGGGCGAGCTGCCAGGTGCTGTGGCACGCTCTGATTGGCTGTTTATCATGGGGAAATTAGAGGGATTGTGGGTAGCAATTGTCCTGGCAAGAATTTGCTGAGATAATAATACTGTGTATGAATATCTATAATAATGTTTTCATATATTATATTATATTATATTATATTATGTGATAATATAATTAATAATAATGTTAGTAGTGTGGATCTTGTGTTGTATTTTATTGTATTAGTAGTACTGAGGATTTTAAAACTGGTGTTCTGTTGTCCTATGTGTGTCACAGAGACATGTCACACCCTCCGCCCCTGCTGTCACCTCAGACTGCACCTCACATCGCTCTGGGACCCCACCTGCGGCCCCCCTTCCTGGGCATGCCCTCTGCCCTGTGCCAGGCCCCCGGTGAGCTCTCCCCCCCCCCCGTCAGCAGCTATTTCATCACACGGCTGCTCAAAGCGGATGAGGGATAACAAACACTGCAGCTGACAGAAAATGACCATAGATCTGCTTGATATGTCACTGTATCTCATTCTCTTTAAGAGGAGACAGCTAACAGTTAAACAGCAGCAAAATAAATGTATTTCATATAAGCATATCTTTAAATATATAAAAAATGTCAAAATGCCTGCATAGTGCACATCTATATTTTACTGATTGCACACACACACGCACACACATACACATACACATACACGTGTACACATGTACACATACACACATGCACATATATTAACACACATTCATATGCATATTGAAAATCGAAGCATTTTCCCAGTATTAATAATGTTTCTGAGGAGCTACATAAAGAAACACTTTGGTCTGTTTCGCCGAAACATGATCGATTGCCTCTGTTTCAGGATATGGCTTCCTGCAGCCGGCCCAGGCTGAGATGTTTGCTCGCCAGCAGGAGATGCTGAGGAAACAGAATCTGGCAAGGTATTGTGGGAGAGAGAGGGGCCAATAACTTTTGATTAATCCATCCATCCATCCATCCATCCATCTTCTGTTATGCTTGTCCAGTACAGGATCATGGTGAATACACTGGATGGGATGCCATTATCAAATTTGACATGCAGTAAAATTTGACATTAGTGTAAATACGGACTAATGCTTGACATTTACTGTTCCTTCAAAACATTCATGACCATGACATCCTGACACACCTTAACATCTGTAAAATACCTTAACAAGAAACATAATATGATTATAAGTCTATAATGTTTGTCATTAATGTATATTAAAGCTGTGAAGGTATGTTAAGATGTTAAGTTATACTGCTTATGATTATCCTTATAAGGTATGCTGCTTATGAATGTTCTATGAATGCATTAGGAATGTGCACCGAGTGTTCTATGAATGCATTATTAATGTGCAGCTGACTATTCTATGAATGTGCACTGAATGTTCTATGAATGCATTATGAATGTGCACTTAATGTCCTATGAATGCATTATGAATGTGCACTGAGTGTCCCATGAATGTATTATGTATGTGCACTGAATGTCCTATGAATGTATTATGTATGTGCACTGAATGTCCCATGAATGCATTATGAATGTGCACTGAATGTCCTATGAATGCATTATGAATGTGCACTGAATGTCCCATGAATGCATTATGAATGTGCACTGAATGTCCCATGAATGCATTATGAGTGTGCACTGAATGTCCTATGAATGCATTATGAATGTGCACTGAATGTCCTATGAAAGCATAATGTATATATTAATGCAAAGTGTATTGTAACTGCATAAATTTGGAAAGTACTATTGTTTTGTGACAAATGTGAGGTAACGTTGAGCATTTGAAGAGCTGCCTTTGGATACATTCTGAGCCGATGAGTGTCGCCTCTGTTGTCCTGCAGGTTAGAGATGTCGGCAGAGCTGTTGCGCCAGAAGGAGCTGGAGAGTCTGCACCGGCAGCGTCTGCTGGGGGACCCTTTGAACCTTCACCCCAACTTGCCCCCGGAGCACCCGGCCTTGCGCAGTCTGCACGACATCCCCGAGGGCCACCCGCTGCGAGAGGAGCTCAGCCGGCGCAACGCCATGCTGGTGCTGCGCCACAGCAACACGCCACTGCTGTCCCTCAACCACCAGGGGGCGCCGGGCAGCGGCGGCGCCACGAAGGAGCCCGGCTCACGGAAGAGCGTCCGGAAGGGAGCGCATGGTCGCGGGGACCTCCAAGAGGGACCTTCTGAGGTTAAGGACCTCCAGGGAGAGGGGCAGCATCACGACGGGCTGGCGGACGGACAGGACGACACGAAGGACTCGGAGAGTGACGCCGAGGTGGCCGAGGAGCGACTGGAAGGACGGCCGAAGCTGGAAGGGCACGGCTCAGAGGTCAGCAAGGAGGCGCCAAAGGCGTTCGAGAACGTCAGGGAGCCGGGGGAGCCTTCGGGGCGCCTGAGCGCCCCCTGCAGCTCTGCGGGGTCCGTGTCGCCCAGTCAGCACTCCTTCACTCCTGGGATCCCCAAGAGTGAAACCAAGTACCTCCCTCCTGGGGCGGTGCCCCCCCTCCCTACGCCGATGTTCCCCTTCGGCTTCCCATACTCCAGCCCATATTTCCACCCCGGTGAGTCTCCAGCGCTACGCGAATATCTCCCCTTTAGTACGTTATATGGAAATAAACCTCACACTTCCTATGAATGCCATGTCTGTAGGAGTCTATGAACACATTCGTAACACATTGTAATGCATTCATATTGCCTTATGAACATGGATGGCTATACATATTTATAAAAAGCTGTAACACATTATAATCATGTTTATTATGCAATATGAATGCTTTATGACGCTCTATAATGCACTGTAGATACCTTCGTAATGCATTAAAAAGTATCCTTGATTCTTATACCGACCATTATAAAGCATTATGAAGGTATCCATAGTGCATTATAGATGAGAGCTTATGAAGTATTATAATCAACACTATAATGCCTTATGAAGATGGTGGAACAGTGCGGAGGGCTCAGCTCTGGCTCCTGCCGGGGTGCGTGTGCATCTATGTGTTCTCTCAGTGCTCCATTTAAATGAGGCCAACTCCCTGAATTGTTCGCGGTGCACAGTAATGGCGGGGGGGGGGGGGGGGGGGGGGGGGGGCAAGGCAGCCATGTCCCTGAGGAAATAGCTGACCTCACCCCCAGCTAAGCTGTGGGACACAGAAGGCAGAAGGGGGGGGGGTTTGACAGGGGGGCTCTGAGGTAACCCGTTCCTGCCCTGCAGGTACCATGGGAGGAATGTTCCTGGACAGCGAGGAGGTGGAGGACATCAGCAAGTGGAGTGTGGAGGAGGTGTGTAGCTTTGTCGGCAGCCTGGGGGGCTGCAGTGAGTACACACAGGTGAGTGGCAGGAGGCATGCGGGGGGCGCAATTCTAAGCATAAAGAGTAACCAGTGCCTGAAGTCCAAAATGGCGTCTTCTCATGGTTGTCATGGCAGCAGTTACCGGCTGTTAGTGTGTATAACAGGACTTCGAAATAAGGTCTGGTCTTCCAGAATAAACGCCAAGCGGATTAGTTATAGGAAATTCAGCTTTATAAAGAGCAGATATTTTTATTCCTGTTAAATTGAGACATAAGGAGAAATACGGAACTGTGCAAAAATCTTAGCCAGTAGAAGAAAATGATGTTTAAGTGATCTTCATATAGATGCAAAATCTCTCTTACGTCACCCCAGTATTTGCAGGAACCATCCAATACTCCCCCTATGAGCCAATATGGCGCCCTAGAGAAGCTCCCCCCCCGTCTGAGGCGATTATTCTGAAGTGAAATCGGCTGGCAAGTCGGAACCCCCTTCCGAAGCCGCCGCCCCAGGTTTCCCTCATACACTGTATAACTGGGCTGTCCTCAAAGGCTGGAGCACGGCTGATTTCCCAGGATTCCTTGAATCCTCTGGCCAATCAGAATCAGTAATCATGATATTACCTGGGAGAACTGAAAACAAGGCCTGGATTTGGAATCGAGGGCCATATTTGAAGAGCCCTGCTGTATAATCTGATGGGTGCGTCCCACCCAGTAGCTGTCCGAGTCCATGTGGCACCGTAGGCAAGCCGCCCTGCCCTATTCCAGTTTTTATTGTGTTACTCTTAATTTACATATGTTCTAATGTTAAGTTTTTTTTTTGTTCTGAGCTCAAATACCCTCACTACCCGCATAAATAGCTTTAAACATTTCCTTTGGCTGCCTAAGAGTTTTGCACACTGCTGTATGTTTATAGAGTGACTGTACCTCCTCCTCCCCCCGTTTTCCTTTCGCTGTTTGCCCAAACACTCCTGGTTCCTCATCTCAGCCGCCCATAGATCTTGTTGTGTTGTGGCTAGCGCACTGCTTCGCTGCTTCTCGCTGAGGATGTACTGTCCGCCGCTGGCAGGTTTTCCGAGATCAAGCGATCGATGGGGAGACGCTTCCACTGCTGACCGAAGAACATCTGCTGAACAACATGGGCCTTAAACTGGGTCCTGCACTCAAGATCCGCTCCCAGGTAAACCGCTTATTTGGGTAAGGCTTGCTGGTTCATTGATTAGTAGATACTACAGCTATTAAAAGCTGTGTACCTCAAAAGAATTTACTTTGAACGTCAGTCAAATGTTTTACATGTTTCATAGCTTCATTTGTTGCATGAGGAAGAAAAAGGGTAATTCATGTGTCACTGGTCAATTCAGATGGATACAGATGACAGAATTTTTAAAATCACAGTAATTTTATATCCACAAATTTTTCAGAGTCAGAGCATCCATGAAAATGTTGACTGTATTGTACTGATTGGCCTGGCTTGGCAAGATGTCCGCCGTGTCAATTGCTAGACAGTCTCTTAGCAGTACAATGTGGATGTAATCGTCTAAATTTCAGTGTTATATGAAGTATATATTTTTATGTTTGTAGATGACTTAGGGCTTGAATGTTGCTTTATTTGAATGTCAGAATGTGAAAAAAAGAGATGAGTGGCTAGTGGAAATGGCGTCTCCTAGGCGATGAAGCTGGTACTCAGTTTCCCAGGTGCCCCGTACTCCTCAGTTTCCCAGGTTCCCGGTACTCCTCAGTTTCCCAGGTGCCCCGTACTCCTCGGTTTCCCAGGTGCCCCGTACTCCTCGGTTTCCCAGGTTCCCCGTACTCCTCGGTTACTCAGGTGCCCCGTACTCCTCGGTTTCCCAGGTGCCACGTACTCCTCGGTTACTCAGGTGCCCCGTACTCCTCAGTTTCTCAGGTGCCCCGTACTCCTCAGCTTCCCAGGTGCCCCGTACTCCTCGGTTTCTCAGGTGCCCCGTACTCCTCAGCTTCCCAGGTGCCCCGTACTCCTCGGTTTCCCAGGTGCCCCGTACTCCTCGGTTNCCCCGTACTCCTCGGTTTCCCAGGTGCCCCGTACTCCTCGGTTTCCCAGGTGCCCCGTACTCCTCGGTTACTCAGGTGCCCCGTACTCCTCGGTTAGCCAGGTGCCCCGTACTCCTCAGCTTCCCAGGTGCCCCGTACTCCTCAGTTTCCCAGGTGCCCCGTACTCCTCAGTTTCCCAGGTGCCCCATACTCCTTTGCCAGCTCTGACTGGTGATGTGTCCCCAGGTGGCCCGGCGTGTGGGTAGAGTGCTCTACATGACCAGCTTCCCGCTGGCCTTTCCGCTGCCATCGTTGGTTCCCCGCCCCCCTGAGAGGGACCAATCCGCCGCCGAGGCCCGGCCGACCTCCGTTGGCAGCCCCCCCGCCACATACGGGGCCACGCCCACCAGCCGCTCCTCGCCAAAGACCGAGAATGGAAGCACTTCCTCTGCCGTAGCGTGCGACGCCAACAAAGCGCCATCGTAGGTAGCCGGAAGTCGGTGACGATCCCTGGGACTGCTTTAGCGTCTGCCACACAGGAGGGGGCACTGTTGTGGTTGAGGGCGGGCTAGTCGTGGCAGACTTCTCCCGGCAAACCTTGAATCGACGCTGCTGATTGCCCACGAGGACCTTTTATTGGGAGCTATAGACTTCGATGCCAGTGAAATAAAGAGGTCTTGTCACGTTGCCATCACATTGTAGATGCAGATGAATAGAATCCAGAGACATGTGAAAAAAACGGGACCCCCTTGAGGGAATGGAAGTGACCATGCCGGGCCTGCTGCGAAAGCGGAACAGCGAACGCGGCACTGTTCAGAGGGGTGTCCCAGAGCCTGCACCGCCTTTCTGAGAGGAGCTGCAAGCACTCCAGTTCCCGGGGGCATCGTGGCGCTGAAAAATAAAACAAAACAAAAAAATGGGAAAGACTTTATTCCCTGGGATTTAGCAACCACCTCCAACATGCCCCCTCCCAGTCAAAAAAAACTGCAAAATGGAATTGACTCCTGCAACTATGCATTCCGTGGATCGAAACCAAAGATGGAGATGTGCTCCAGCTTCATGTCACGTATAGTGTGCGCACCATGCAGTCTGTGTGGCCCCTTCAGCTGCTATCACAGTGGGAAAGGGCCTTGGATGGATGCAAGTACAAGGAGACTCATGCTAACGTGACTGACCCGTTCTCGGTCGGGTTCGCGGTTACACATGTAGTGGTTCGATAGTAGTGTTTGACCTGGACCTAGAAAGTGCCTGCCAGAGTGGGACACCCATCTCAACATGACGCGGAATCATCTGTCCTGGCTGGAGTGTCTGCGCTGATCAGTGTGTGACCACGTCTACTACTGTGGATGAACAAACCAAGCCAGACTGTACAGTGGCACGCTAGCGATAACAAAAATATTCTGAGAGTTGCGTAACTGGTACTTTTTGTTAACTGTAGTTGCACGTTATTACTGTTTCTTAAATGAACAAAATATGACTTGCTAACTTTCGGTGGTACGTTTTTGTTAGTTTGTTTTTTTTTACATTTATGTTTGATACTTATTCTATTGTAATATTAAAAGCCCCACTTTGAAATGCTGCTTCCTAGCAAATACATACGGAAAGCAAGAAAACATATTTATAACTTTTTCTGTTATACTTAGGATGACGTGATTACAGTAGGTATATAATTTTTGGTATACGATTATTCATCCTTTAAATGGATGCCAAAGATCAACCTTATTTTTTCTCTTTATTACAGGGAAATGAAAGGCACAAAGCTCTTTATGCAAATCTTTGAATTCGTTATGAATTTGTAAGGAAAAACAACAAAAAAAATGAACATTAAAATGGTCTGTAGTTTTCCCCTTCATACTGTCTCTGTTTTTGGGTCTACCTTTCAAATTCTCAGGTGAAATAAACCGCTGAATGAATCCCTTCTACTGAATTTATTGCAGCATGTTTACACGGGACTACATGGGATTTATGAGGGTGTATTCACGTACTCCAGGCTTTCCCGGGGAGGATTCTGGTATTGACAGCAGGGTTGTAAATTCACTGGCTGGACCTTGGCTCAGGGTGTAAGGGTGCTTGGCCGGGTGGGAGGTTCAGTTGGAGGTCGGGATCTCAGTAGGCTTCTACCTTTCACTGCCTGACCTTGCGGGACACCTGCCATCCACGTTAAACTTCTTTATGGCTACTTATGAAACTGACTGCACCAGGTGCATGACTAGTTGGAATGTGAGGACATTTATGATCCTCCTTATACAGAACTGCTCCGGGACACTGGGTCACAAGCTGCCCAAAGCCTATACCATATACAGTACATGCTGCCACTTAGCACACCAAAGCAAACACATACATAGCCAGATGGTCACGCCCCATAGCGGCATTGGCAGCTGTGGCCACTGGCAGATGCAGGCCCTTGTGCTTCGTGTCTGAGGGTCACAGCCATGGTTATGCTCACATACTCCCTGAGCAAATCTGCACCCACAGACTGATAGACTTTCTGAACTCAGGACTTCAATCAGAACCAGTCAATCAGTACCTGCTTTAGCTCCTTGTGTGAAAGTAGAAGAAATTGATGCAATGCAAATACCAACTAGGTAAAATCAAGATGTTAGAAATTAGCTGAATGTAAGTTACACTTCAAATGTACACTTCAAAATAATAAACATCAAATATCGGCTTTTATATATATTCATTTATATATACACACACACTGTACATATATATATATATACTCTGCGACTATCATTGTCTATTTACTTGAAAGGTAACCACTTTATTGTCCCCTTATATTGCTTGTGAAGTTTTGCTTCACGAAGCTGCAAAGTAGGCGACCTTTGACCTTTCTGTCACATCACCTGTATGCAGGGTTGCCTGCTTTAGTCAGCTGGACAGAGTGAGATTTTCAATTCAAGACCAGTCTGCATGCACAAGCACAAACATTTACGTATATGTAACAGTTTTAATACCTTGTATATAGTTTGTAGGGTTTGCAAACTACCCCAATGCTACTGATGCAGCTAATTTTAGGCTTATAATGAAATAATATAGATTCCTGTAAGATTTTTTGCATGAGAATCTGAAGGCGTGAGTCACGCCAGATGCATGAGGGCTGGCAACCCCATGTATTGAACTGGGATTTCTGCAGGCAATGACAATGAGAGAGCAGCTAAATACGGGAAGGTGGGGGGTGGAAGAGCAGTGGGATTAGGAGGGTGGTGCTGGGTGTATAGTGGGGGCCAGGCTGGGGAATTGCTGGCACTGGAACAGCATGTTCCCTCTTCCTGCCCCCCAGGGAGGTGGCTGGCAGCGGATCACAGTGGGTCCTGGCAAACGCAGCCCCCAGGCAGCCTGGGCTGTGCAGCATGTCTCCAGGCAAGGACACACACACAGGCACAGCAGCCTACCGCCCACACACACACACATACACACACACAGACACAGACACACACACACACATACACACACACAGACACAGACACACACACACAGACACACACACACACACACACACTGACACACACACACAAACACACACACAGACAGACACACACACACACATACACACACAGACACACACAGACACACACAGAGACACACACACATACACACAAACACACACACACAGACACAGACACATACACACAAACACACAGAGACACACACACAGACACACACACACACACACAGACACACACACACATACACACACAGACACACACACACACACACACACACACAGACACACACACACACAGACACACACACACAAACACACACACAGACACACACACACACACAGACAGACACACATACACACAGACACACACACACAGACACACAGACACACACACATACACACAAACACACACACACAGACACACACACATACACACAAACACACAGACACGCACAAACACACACACAGTATGTGGACAAACATTTACATGATAAACAGTCACGGCATAGAGATGCTAGATTGCACGCACATTTTGTCGGTGAGTTGCAAAAAAATTTTTTATAACAATAATAATTACAGTAATAAAAAAGTAACTACATATGATACAGTAACGTGCCTTAAGCTGCCGAACTGCTGAAGCCATTTTCACAAGCATCACAAAGTAGCGCATGCGTTTGTTTTTACCAACCATTGTATTTAACCCAAAATATTTCATATAGCACGCTTTATGGCAGTCCATTCGTAAGTACAAGTCGTCAGTAAGTCACATGTTCTTAACCCTGGGACTGCCTGTGGACACAAAAGAATGATGCCATCAGAACTTTTTCTAAAATACCTTTTCAAATAGAAATTCATGGTACAGCGGGACTTCCATCTGTCTTTGAATCACTTTCAATGGTCAACAGTGCAGAGTGGCTTGGAACCTATCCCAGGCTGCACAGGACTACAATTAGCCTAACGGCATGCTGTTAGACTGCAAATGCCACATACCCAGAGCAGAGGTGGGATTCGAATCCCTGACCCTGGAGGTGTCAAGCCACAGTGCTGCCTTTAAGTCTGAAGAAATTTGCATAAATTAAAAATATAAGCCTCACAGCTGTGGATGTGGGCCATCGATTTAATCAGCAAATATATCATTTATTGTTATCAGTCTATGATGTCATGCATTTCTGCCTATAGTTACACAACATGGATTATAACTAATTTCTCAAGTAAAATTATTGCAGCCAATAGCACAGTGCTGCTCTTATCATATATATATTTTTTAAAATATGTGGTTCTTTGGGAGCTTTCTGCACACCTCCATGGAAGTCTTACCCTTCTGCTTCCTTGAGTTCCTCCTCAATGACCCCAGGAACATCATACCAACCTCCTCGCTCTCAGCCTGAAAGACATGCGCCCCCTGGAGGGTATTGAAGCTCCATTAGGCTTCGCTTCTGCTAGCCTGACAGACTTTCTCACATCACATCTCAGGCGTCCCATGCTCTCTGAGAGATCACCACAGCCTACATTTACTGTAGTCAGACCTGAGAAGTCCGATGGTCCAGCACATGCAGATGATCATCCGTGTATCACCATCACTTATTTTCAAACAGACAAAAAAAACGATGTATTCCTTCTCGCCTTGTCTTCTTTCCATCTTCTGGGGTCTCTAACCACCCCCACCTGCTCCGACGGCCCGTCGTAAATCACCAGCGTGGATGATGAGGCCGATTAGACGCAGGACTACCGCCGGCCAACAGTGAGCCTTTGCTGCATTAGCTGGACGTTCATGTTCCCCATGGAAGATATGGGATGGATTTTAGGGCTTAAAGTGCATAAATCAAAATGATTAAGCACCACTGTAGAGTCATCCCACTTCGAAATAGCAGCAGAGACAAGGAAATGAAAGAAGGGAATGCAGTGTCCGCAAACTGTCTACACTCCCTAGAACTCATTTCATTCTTAATCAGGCTATATACTAATTAATATAAATATGCAAAGTGGTAATTAAGGTACTAGACACAGGGATGAGGATTCCAGTTCCAGAAGGGGATTTAACTTTTTTTTTTTATATAAATGTTTTGGTAACACGTTACTTTATGGACTCAAATATAGTAATAGTCACTACTGAAGTCCAATCATGAACAAATCATGAACACATACAGTCGCTAGTGCTTGAGATAAAAGATGCGTCACTATTCATTAATGTTGAACAAACATGAGATCAGTATTTCACTTGTTATTCATTACTTGTTCCTTCAGTAGCTTGCAAAGTTTCACAGAAATAATAGACATAGAAACAAATATAGTTAGTGTTTGATAAAACATGCCTCACAATTCATTAATGATGAATAATCATGAGATCAGTAAGTAACTCAGACTTAGTTTCTAGGTAATTAATACATTAAGTAATAGTATAAAACCATATCTGTGCCCCTAAGGAAAGTGCTGCCAACGTTTAATAGCAGTGATGGTTACTTTTTTCCATCTATAGACAATCTACTGACATCTGTGGATTTTTGGTCTTTGTGTTAGTTTGAAGAGCCTATGTGTATTAGCAGAATCCAAACTCCCACTGTGGAAAGGCTGCTCCCTGCATCAATACCCACACTTAGCTGCAGATCATAACTTAGTACTGGGTTTAACTGGGTTATGCCTAAGCTTGGTCATCAGGTTACAGCAAAATACAATTGTAGTCTAGGACTACAGAATAGACCTCAGTGGGCACTCAGCATTTTCCTGATTGTCTTTTGTGGCTGAACTGCAAGCCCAGACAGATGACGTGTAGACGAATTGACTGAGCAAGCAGAGAAGGCCTCCATGGATTTATTGTTATCTAGCCCCAAAACACCTTTCACTTAACAGCCATCTTATCACAGCCACAGACTAGCAGCCAGGCCGAGAAACACAGTCCCGGCCTTTCACACACTCTCCACGCCGCCCAGCCAGGAAGCCCCCATGTCCTTCTTCAAATCTGAGCTCTCCCATTGGCTCTCAGAGGAACTAAAGGGAGGAACAAAAGAAAAATCAGAAGAAAGGAAAGCGAAACACCCAGCAACTTTATTTGGATCAAAGAGACCTTTAGTCCTCCTGTAGCCTTCATTCTTCTCCATGTGCTATAGTAGATATCAATGCTAACACTTCCATTCATTTTCTGTACCCACTTGTCCTATTCATGGTGGCAGGGGGTCTGGAGCCTATGGGCACAAAGCAGGGAACAACCCAACGCGGCACATACGCACCAAGGGGTGATGTGGTTTTTTGAGAATGTGGCGGGAAAGCCAGAGTCCCTGGAGAAAACTCCATGAAGACATGAGAACATGCAAAGTCCACACACCATGACAGAGACTCATACCAGAGGTGTGAGGCAACAGTGCTAACCACCGCACCACCGAGCCACCACTGCATCCCCGTGTCACCACCGAGCTACCACTGCATCCCTGTGTCACCACTGCACCACCAAGCCACCATTGCATCCCCATG